AGTGTTCCTCTTCAACAGGAGTCCTTAAAGGAGCTGGACAGCTCAGGTGCGGGGAGAAGATCTGCACTGGGTAGGGAGTGGGGACCACCCTGGTGCAGAAGCTGTGTCCCGGAGGAGCCAGTATTTCTAGTAGCAACTCCACAGGCATTGCTTCCAGAATCTCCGCCAAAGACAGTCGTAAGTCACTGAATTCAGGGAAGCCCAACGCTGTGGCTTCCTATTTGGTTTATAGGTCTCCCCCTCCAATGCAATATTATCAGTTGAGTTATTTTTACCATAAACAATACACCCAAGGAACAAACACCATTTTTATTGTTTCTTGGGAAACAAGCTGGAGTTAACCAAAGGTCAGATGCTTATCAAAGGGGAAAGGGCTTAACTCTTTACCCCTAGTGTCATATCTCCTAAGAAGCAAAAAATTGATAAAGTTGGGTTTTTTCCTGACTTGTTAAAATCACAATTGCCTTCATGAAAGATCCTTTCGGAAATACAAGTGTATCTGAGGGGAACAGGATTATTTATTATGTGATAGCTGGAGCACATGGTTGATGCACAATAGGGTAAAATACCTTTTTTTTTCTTTACCACCTATCTCCTTCTAGTGTTATTTCCCTGACTCAGCTTGTGTCAGAATGTGAAGAATACTGTGGGAAATTCAGCCACTCCCTCTACATTCAGTCTATCTTACCTAAATTGGTTTCCTGTGGTCCGTTCCTTCCCACCCTATAACTCAACAGCCAACAACATACTTCCAGTATACTTTCCCTATAGATAAGGGAGACAGAAATAGCTAGCAGATACAAAGTTTTTTAAATGTAAAAATTACCTGTGATATTAATAAACACACCTGCCAGACTACTCTTACAACAGATAAGAAAAACAGGAAAATCCTAGAAGCCCTCAGTATCATGAGGCTTTTCAAATTTCATGCAAGGGACGGGAAAAAAACACACACACAAGTATGAGGAAAATAATTCTTCACAGGCAATATGGTTCAAATGCTGACTCTACCACTGTTACCTTGGGTAAACCATTACTTTTCTTAAACCTCAGTTTTCATGTCTTTATAACGGGGATAATTATAGTTCTCAGCTCCTAGGGTTCAGCTGAAAAACAAAAGGGATAATGCATGAAAGTGCTTCGCATAGTGCCTGGCCCAGAGCAAGCTACTCTGCTTATTATTGTTCTTGCTGTTATTATAAAATACATTAATAGTATTCACTGTCAACTATTGCTTTTGATTCCCGAATTTCATGCCCCAGGCCACACCTCAGCTCTGCACTGATGGCTCCATCAGCCTAATCATCAATTCCACCTGGGTCAAAATATTAAATTCATCACAGCCAAAATAAACACTCCTTCCCGTATTTCCATTAGGGAACACCTCTAAAATCCCTCGTTAGCCCAAGTCAGATACCTGGAGTCTTCCTAGATTTCTCCCTCTCTACTCCTACAGAATCCAATCCAGGTGTCCCATCAACCTAACTGCTTACATTCCTCTGGAACCTGCGTCCATGCCTTTCTAATGTTCATTACCTTGATCACATGTTCATTACCTCCGGCCTGGGTGATTTCAATAGACTCCCTGGTCTCTCTGCTTCCTGCAGACTTATAATGCAGTCCAGAATGATCTTCCTATAATACTACCAGAATGATCTTTGTGTAATGAAAACTCTGTTGGGTCATTTATGAATTAAAAATCAATCCTTCAGTGGTGCCTCACAGCTTTTAAACTAAAGTCTCAACAGCAAGTGCATATGGTTGATGCATACTTTTCTAACTTCATTTTTTCTCACTAATCCCCTAAACTGGTAATCTCAAACATTTATTTCATATCCTTATCAGTTCAAAACAAGCATGCATCCCAATGAATGTATATTTATTTTAATTATGTACAAGTATAAATATATTAATAAAGCACATATATTATAAAAACCTATTTACCTAATAAAAATCTTTACAAGGTGAGAAAAACAAGTGAACATAATGGGAGTGCTCATAATTTCTCTCAGCATCCCAATGACGATGTTCCTCTTTCCAATTCATGCTGCCCATGACTTCAGTCTCATTGTATTACCTGAAGGTCTCTGCATCAGTTCTCTGATATCATTGTGCTTTTATATATACTATGATTCTCTCTGCCTAAAACAGTCATTTGTTCACCTGGCTATGTCCTTCTTCCTTCCTCCTTTTCGAATTTCTTCTTCCCCTTACCCCTGCACCCAACACCCAACTCTATCTGGTTACCTCCTTTGTGTTCAGTAAAACTCAGTTTAAATGCCACCAACCCTGAAAGTTTTCCCCAACTCCATTACCTATCACTCCAAATTATTGTACTAAATGACACTGATGGAAACGGTTGAAACAATGAATTTCAGATTACCACTTGAAAAAAGAAGCATTTGGCCTTACGAAGAAAGTGAGCCAGCCAAGTGAGACTGCTCAGGATGTGGTTGCAGCTGCACATGCTTTGGTCTGCCTCTATAACAGAGACGCAAATGATCAACAAGCAAGCTGACTTTCCACCACTGCTGCTCTCTCTTTTGCAAAGCAGACCCTCAAAACTTATCTTACTTTCTGGGAAGAGCCTTTCAGGTGTTCTTATCACCTCAGGCTTGGATCCCTTCAATCTATTCAGCAGAATGCTTCAAAATCCTGAGTGATTCCTCACTACCCTTATAAAATCCAGTTTCCTTAGATGTGACATTCAAAACTTTCTCCAGGATCTGGGTTCAACCTACCATTCTAGCCTTCTCTACCACTGCTCCACTGCTTAGGTGACTTGCATTTCAACCAAAAACATGTAACTCACCTCTCCAGAACATGCACCACGTTTCTGCATAGGTGTTTCCTCCAGCTACAATGCTCCCCCATGCAATTCTGTTTCCCAGTGGTGCTGGAATCCCATCCATCCATCTTTCAAGGAATGCACCCACTCCCACCTTCTGCTTGAGCAGTCCCTGATCTCCTCAGCTGAAATACAACCTTACATTGCACCACCTTTCACAGTTTAGAGAACACCAATGCACTTTGTCATCCTCACAGCTCTCCTTATGCTGCTTTTATGAACTCAGTCCAAGTACCCTGCTAAAATCACTGCAGCCAATGGCAGAACGAGGGATTCAAATATAGATTTTCAGGTTCCAAATACCCAGTGTACACCCATAGTGCTACCTTCAAAAGTTTCTACCTCTTGTGTTCCCAGGGTGCTTTCTAATTTCAAACGCACATTATTACCAGTTCCATTTAGTGTTAGAGTTGGTGCATGTTTGGTGACAGGACCTCATCTTGTTCATCACGGTATCCCCAAATGTTCTTTGCATACAGCAGGTGATTAGCGATCAGGCTGAATTTAATTCATTTAGGTGTTTTACTTTCCTTCACGTTCCAAAATTAGTGCTGAAATCCAGAAGCCAAATAGGGTGGAGGCTGGGAGTGTGCGCTCCTCCCTGGGCAAGTTACTCAATACCTGTGTTCCAGAGTCTCATTTGTAAAATGGAGATAATTATGCCTTCCTCACATGGTTTTTGTGAGGATAAAATTAAGTACTGCACTTAAGACAACAACCCAGGACCTGGCACATTTAATATATACCAGCTGCTAGTACATAGTCCATTTTATGTCCTCCACATGGTAGTACCTCAAAGGCCAAAAATTACTGATCTCAAAAAATGTCTACTCCAAGTCACCAAGAGAAATTTAGATTATGGTAAATCTAAATTAAGAAAGCAAGGACGTGAACTGAATAAATTTTATAAAGATCTCCCTGAAATTTTTTTAATAACCAGTACATAAAATACCCGGTTATCTGGGAAATTAACTTATATTGAATGACTCTATGTTATGTGAAATAACTAGATATTACTATATATTAGAAGGTATACAAGTGAGATGAATGTGAGAGATTACATATGTGTGTGCATATATATATGTAAATACATATAAGTTTATTTCTTCCCCCTTAGTTTTGCAGTGACTAAGTTTTGCTTAAGCTAAGTACCAAATGTTAGTCAAAAGCTTTAGCAACGAGAGGTGTGTGACTCTTCCTCCTGAAGCCAAAAAGCAAGCAGGGACCAACCTCATGCACACCTCTTAGAGGTCTGCATAAAGCACATTCATTCTTCAAGGAATTTAGATAGTTCCCAGCCCAATGAATAAACACACAAAGGCGTTCACTGACACTGATGAGTACACAGGAATAAACCAGCCAGATGCTATGTCTAATCTTGACAATGCACGAAGGCACCACACCTCAGTGAGTTAGTTAAGCTGACTCAGTACAGACATGCTAAGCAAGTGGAGGGGTGAAAGCCTTCATACGCAACAGGTCATTCCTCTACTGGGTCTCTGCTGCAATGAGAAAATCGGTGAAGAAATTTCTAAGATTCCTGTCGGATCTAGGCTCCATAATTCTGGCATCTCTCTTGGGAGTCACCACGCACAGGGAGGGCAAAAAAGTGGCCGTGAGCACAAGCAAGAGCCAAGGAAAGGCAAATTCTGGGCGCAGTTAAGCCAGAAGCAATCAAATTAGTTGTGGGAGTTAAGCCTGGAGCCAGGAAGTTACGGAAAAATGATGCGGGTTGGGAGAGGCCAGCGCGGAGAGAGACCTTCGAACCCCGGCTAGGAGTTCTGAAACTGCTCGTTGTCAGCCATGGTTATTAACTTACGGAACCTGCACACTCACAGTGAAGGGATCTGACCCTGAGTTAGTTTTGACTGCCAGTTATCATCCCAAAATTAAAAAGTTATTGCAAGTTCGGTTGCAGGCCCTGAAACAACCTGAAGACACGGGTCCTCTCACAGATTCCCACTGGACACCATTAGCCCTCTTCCCAGCCCACTCCATCCCGTCCAAGACGGGCAGAGGTGCAGCGGCGGTCGAATGAGGTACGAATCCAGCACGAACTGGGCCCGGCTGACCCTGGGGATCTGCTCCCTTTTTGGACCCCAACTGCGCCGCGCCAGGACCCCGACTCGAGAAAAATTGGTTCTGCGCCCACCTTGGTGCTGGGGTCCGGGTCCGAGCAGCAACTGAGGGCAGCCTGGTCCGTAAGGCCGCCCGACGTGGGTTGCGGTTCTGCCATGGCTGCACTGCTGTATCACGGACGACGGTCCCCAGGACTCAGCAGCAACCCACACTCCGCCCAAACCCTGAGTTGCCTTTACCAGCGACCGCGTCGCACGGGGGCGGGCGGCTGCTGACTTCCAGCCAATAGCTGCTCGGAGAGCAAGCTGGTTCTGTGCCGCTTGAGTGCCAGTGAGTCAGCGCTTCCAGCCACAGAGCCCTGTGCCCCAAGACTACAACCCCCAAGGTCCCTTTCGCCTAATGGAGACCTGCTTGAGGGGAGAAAATGACAAACAAAAACCGAACAAGCTACTGGCTTCAAAGAGTGGTTTCTCTGCTTGCTTGATGACCAATTTTGTTTCTGTTTAACTGTTAAAGTTCAGTAAACACCCATACCTCAAGGCTGCAAGTTGGTAGGAAATTGGAATCTGGTGAATAGAGAGTTGGAAGTTACTCTTTTTAAGGTATAAGAATCCCAAAGTCTTCCTAAGTTTAAACAGATCATTTAAACAGGGTAATTAAAACAATCTGATTTACTAAAAAACCTAGAATCAAGTTTTGGTTCCACTATTTAGTAGCCTGGAATAATAACTGACCTCTCTCAGCTTCTTTGCAGGATTTTGGTGAGGATCAAATGAGATTTAAGTCATGGTTTTGCTACTTATGACCCAAAGGTCCATAACTTTCAGTGTGTTTTATATTAATTTTGCTAAGGTACATATTTTAATTGTTTTCATTGGAAGACTCAGTCATCACTGTTGTCAACTGATGATTGTGGGTGCCTATTCAATGCCAAGAGGAACCCCCATATTGGGCTACAGTAAAAAAGGAAATTTTATTCAGAGCCAAGAACTCAACTGTGGTATAGCATGGCTGACAGCTGTGGAACAGCACTGATGCAGTGCAGTCCTGGGGCTGGGCCCTGTCTGGTTAGACAGCCCTGCTCCTCCCCACTCTGCTAGGCTGTGCTCCTGACTGGACTCCACAGACCAGAAAAACACAGCCTCCAATTTGAAAAGGAAAACCACACTGTGAGACCAGAGTGGAGCCGACTTAAATAGACAGAAGTCTCTGCCTCTTTTCCCTGGTTGGACCATTCTCATGCAAATGGGGCCTCCAAATCTTCAAAGTTTGGTCCAAAAAGCACTGTCCTGATCGGTCAGATTGGAGCCTCTCTGATTGGTCAGTGAAGATGCTGATGGGAATAGGGATGCACAGCTCCAACTGAACAGGGAAAACCTCAGTCCTATTGCTTGAGGAACTACTTCATAAGGGCTGGCTCATATGGCAGAAACACAATGCAGGGGGCAGTTCAGTGTGAGAGGCAGGGAGCTCACGCTGGATTCTCCCTGAAGTCCAGTTTACCTGAGAGGCCCCTGTGTAGGAATGACTGCTAGGCTCTGGTTTTCTGTTTGATTGTTTGTGTTGTTTTGGTTTTTTTTCTTTTTTAGATTTTATTTATTTAGTCCTGGCTGGTGTGGCTCAGTGAACTGAGCACTGGCCTGCAAACCAAAAGGCTGCTGGTTCTATTCCAGATCCGAGAGCATGCCTGGGGTGTGGGCCAGATCTGCAGTTGGGAGCATTCAAGAGGCAGCTGATCTTGCACTCTGCTGTTTCTCTCCCTTTCTTTCTCCCTCTCTTCCCCTCTCTCTAAAATAAATATCTAAAATCTTTTTTTAAAAGGAGTTGCTAAACCCAAAAATTGAGGCAAGGCACAAACCCAAGCACTGTGTATTACCACTGAATTTTTGCACAGCAAACCCAGACAACAGAAATTTATCTGAGATATTTTATTGAAAAGACACCCCAAACTGGTCTTTTTTCCCCCCTCTAACCGCTCTAGTGAACTTCCTAGAATATGTAAGAGATAAACCAGGTGAGTGGATAGGATGGCTCAGTTTCTAAAAATACTGATTTGTTTATAAATTATTAATGTAAAGCAATTCCAATAGAAATCTTATGGGCTTTCTGTGAACTAAATAAACTAATTCTAGTTCCTATTGTTAGAGCCCCCAAAAGGCAAGGCATTTGAAGAATAAACAAGTAGGGGAACCTACCCTTCCAGATAACAATATAAAGTGACAGTAACACAGTGTGATAATGACACTGGTATAGATCAATAAATGGAAACTGTTTTAGGCAGTTGTAAGGTGGGCCCAATGATCCCCACTTCCAGGTAGCCACACTCTTGTGCTGTTAGGTAGCAGCTAGGAATGGGCAGCCACAGGGGAAATAAAAGCAGGGCCTGCGCCATTACAATCTAACAAATAGGAGGCTAGAAGCAAAAGAAAGGTATGTCTCACCAATTAACTCAGCAGTCCTGAGTCCTCAGCTCAGTTTGATAAGAATGCTGGGTGTCCTGAGCATCACAAGCAAAATGGCACAGGAGGAGGGAAGAGTCCTTGAGATTGCACTGAGAAAAGGGGCTTCTGGAACAATCCTACTAAGATTGTGGGGTGTTCTGACCATCATAAGCGGGGGCCTATGCCAAGGAAATGGGCTCTCTGTAATAACTTCACTTAGACAAGGAGCCTTTATTAACTGAGAAAGAAAGAATTTGTAGCTGTACACTGTTTCTAAGGGAAACAAAAAAGGGTACTTGGAAGCCAGATGAAGTATATAAACCCCAGTAGTCAGCATACTTAGATTAGTTCAGTACCCACTTGTAGTCTGGCTCAAGTGTATAAAACAAACTTACTAACAACTTTATTTTCTCTGTACGTGGGGCATTTAGACAAGCTGGGTGCCTGCTTGCAGCTTTTTTCTCCTGTGTGTTTCATAAGTAAACTTGCTATTATCTCATTTCCACTACACATGCTGTCTCTCACTTGAATTATCTCTTGCAATGACACTAGAACCACGGCTGGGAAGAGAGGCCTCCTGACTCGGGTCTCTCTCCCCAGCTGTAACACTGCCATCTCCTTCCCTTAAGTATGAACTTATTTCTAAGGAATAGAAAGAATATTGTAAAAGTGATAGGATGTCACCACCGAGATTAGATTATGAAAAGACTGTGATTCTCTTCTTGGGAACTCGCTCTCTCTTTCTCTCCAACCTCTCACTCAGAAGGTAAGCCATCTGTCATGTTGTGAGCAGCATTATGAAGACTCATACAGCAAGGAAGTGATATCTCTTTCTCAACAGCTGGTGAGAACCTGAGGCCTGGCAATGACCACATGGGTAAGCGTGGAAGTGGGTCTTCTAGTAGGGTTTCGAGAAGACTGCTGCCCTAGTTGACAACTTAATTTTGAACTTGTGAGAAATCTTGAGTCAGAACCACCCAGCTACCATTCCCAGATTCCTAACCCACAGAAACCATGGGATAATAAGTGTTTATTGTTTTTAGCTGCTAAGTTTTGGGGTAATTTGCAGTGCAGCAATGCACAACTAACACACACACACAACTTGATATAGATCAGAGCTAGTATTGAAGTTTGGGGGGAAAGGATGAAGTTTTCAATACATGGTGCTAAGACACCATAATTTATATTTTTGAAAAGAAAAAAGTAGATTTCTCTATTTCTTACCATAAGGAAAAGCAAAAGTCCAAAGGTTTAAAAGATACACAAGTGTGAAACGCAAAACTTAAAAACATAAAGAATAAAAATCAGAATATCTTTATGAATTCATGGTAGAAATTTCTCAATAAGACGTAAAAGCACAAAATATAAAAGAAAAAATTATCTTAACTAAAACACACCATAAAAGATTAAATGATAAACCAGAGTTGAAGAATATTGTGGCGAACCCTGCCCTGTGGAGTCCTCCAATTCGCTGCAGGTAAAATAATGAGTTGTTCCAGACACCAAGTGCTGTCAAGAAAAGGGGAAAGCGATTCTCTCTAGTGGAGAATGTCCTGAGCCCTTCTCTGAAGTGGCTTTTATTGAAAACGATATACTGTGAGCGTGCCAAGCTTTCCGGTCAATGCCTAAGGGCTATATTTACAGATAGAGATCATAGATAATAATTGAAGAAACACAGAGATTTGCCTCAGGTCAAGGTGTGTTAGACATGCTGAAGTCAGATGGTCCTTAAGGTAAGGCTCCTGAGTTTATGAATTCACTCCTGTTTAGAGCTTAAACATCTGGTTTTTCCTTATCAGGGCAGTGCAAAGCAGGGCAAGCTTCAATAGATACAATGAATTCTTTAGGAATCCTTGGTGTTAGCATCGGATCATGCCTGCCTTCAGCATTCCCAGTTTTCTGGTCGAGACTTACAGGCCCCATTCAAGGCCTGGCTCGTGTGAGGCTACAAATCCCAATACCAGACAAAGTGGCCCCCAACAGAACATAACCCTCAAAGGATCAGTATCCATAATATGTAAAAACTCTTACCAATCAATGAGAAAGAGATAAACAGTTTACAAAAGAGGAAACTCAATACTTAATAGGTAGATTTAAAAAATGATTCTGGTAACAAAACAACAACAAGAAAAAGCCCCCCAAAATATGCTCCTGGTAAACAGGGAAATGCCATTTAGTATAAAAATGAGGTTCCCTTCAGATTGACAAAAATTTAAAAAAATGAAAGTCTGTCAGTATCAAATGTTGGTGTAGATGTGGAACAATAAAATTCATATACATTTGCTGGTGTAAACTTCAGTTACTATAAATGCTTTGGGAAATAATTTAACAGTATCTAGGAAAGTTAAAAATAGTATATCCTAGGATCTGCTACCAAGTATATATCCTAAAGGATTATTATGCCTATACCCTAAAAATAAGAGACATGGTTTAAATAGAAAAAAATTGATAAGACTTAAATGTCCAACAGCAAGAAAATAGGTTGTGTTATTGTTATACAGTGGTTACACTATACATAAAAGCGAAAATGAATAAATCAGAGGAACATATCCCAACATGGATAAATCTTACAATAGAAATGAAATAATTAAAAGTGTCAGAAAAAACCGTATGGCACAATACTATTTTTGCAAAGTTTTAAAATGTACCACAATATAATCTATTGCTTAGGATGAAATACATATCTAGTGAAGGGATCAGGTAGTGCCTGGGAATAAACAAGTCCAAATTCAGGAACATATTTCCTCAAGGGGCCATGGAGGAAGCAACAGGGTAGGGATATAAATGTCTTGACAT